TTCGATATGTTGCAATTTTTAACTAATAATGATATAAGAAATTCTAAGGACTTTTATCGTTGATAGTCTAGTTAGGCTAACAATCCTATTCGGTTGAGTTACATGTTCTAAATAAATACCACATATGTCAGATGCATGCTTCTAGCACAAGGTGCGAACCTCTCAAGTAGGGTTGTTAATGGAGTGTTCCAGTTAATAATAATATATATAATCCACTTCGGAACACTCCAGAAGAGGGTTTTATGTTTTATTATACCCTGGTCACTATATCAAGATCGCAGGGTATAAATCAGTTATACCCTGGGTACTATGTGTATAAGCGGAAATGAAATTTCCGCTTATACTCTCAAGTAGTGACCCTAGTTGATAATCAATTAGTTGAACTAAGTGTAATGATAATCTATTTTTGTAATTTCTGATTAAGTGTTAGACGTTAAAAAAAATCGGATATCTTAACGTTAAATAAATATAATATCACGATAATATCAAATTAAATGTGATGAATTAATCAAGGTCTTGCCATTTTTGATAAATTCTATCAAAGATAACATCACAAATCGATACTTTTATTTTGATCATATTAATAATTAACAAGTCTTTTAATAAATTAAACTCTTATAGACATCTTAATACTTAAACAATTCATTCATACACTTGTGTACTAACTACCGTCCAAGCTAATGTCTAGCCAATGTCCTAGATTTACATATATAGATATATATATATATGTATATATATATATATCTATTACACATTATACATTCGTTACGTAAATATATAGATTTCTATTTGTAAATATATTTTGAAATAAAATATCAAAGATTCAAATAATTCTCAATAATATGCCAATGGTGAAGTGTTCCCTCTTCTATTATTACTAACTCCCATAGCAACAAATGCATGATTATCCGCAAACATATTTACATCGTTTCCATCGTCATGTAGCAGCGGCATTTGCATTAGTGGTTGTGGCTGAGAGTGTAATGTAGGTGGCGAAGAGAATGGTGAAGCACTCTGTTGCATTTGTTGTGAACCAAAATACGAAGATCTTTCATCTAAATCCGTATTTGACGAAAGCCAAAAATCAGAACTTAGGGAACTGATTGTTTCATTCCCTATTCTATTATTTGTCGATACTACGCCTGGTGCAGCATATGGATCAGTACCACCTATAGTATGTTGATTTTGTTGATCTGCTGTTGCAGAGGTAATATATCTATACCCAAATGTATTATTAAACATTTGAGCAGACTCTGGCAAATCATGATGTAATTGTAGCTGCGATTTTTGTTGATTGTACGAAGGTGAAGGTTGTGAAGACATTGTAATAGGATTACCGAAACCCATTACGGAATGATGTCGTTCATAAGTTTGTGGAGAATTTAAAGATATGGAGTTAAAGATTTGTGATTGTGTAGAATTCTCTTTATTATTATGTGATATAGTTTTATTATTTAACGCGTGATATCCCGCTTGTCGTTCATGCTGGTCTAAGATTGTGGGATTAATATGTTTCCTAGAATTGAATCCGTCTTCTGGTCTATCAATTTTTGACTCCATATCTACATCCAACTGTACATCTCTCAAGTTTGCTAATTCTGTTAGTATAATAGCATATTTGTACGTTAATGGCCAAATAGCCATTAAAGCATCTAATATTTTTAGGCTCTTCCCAAGATTCTCCCTTGCTGGCTGAGATATAGAGACATCAAGTTGAACAGCATTGCATGTATGAATAACAGCAGCTGTGAACGTACAGTAAATTACCGTGGTAGGACTATGTCTTAATTGTTTACGCCTCCTCATTGTATCAGCGATTTCAGTGATAGCATTCGCCGCAGTAGTACATATGTTATGAGATGAATTTTTACCAATTGTGTTGGCGTAAGGACGATGAAGAAGTATTACCGTCGAATAATATAAAGCATGAAGATTAAGTGTTGTGGCGTCAAAAGGATGATTTGATGATGGATGGTATTGTAAATGTGGTGGTAAGTTTACGAACCAAGACGTAAGAGATGAATCAAGAACCGAAATAACTGTACTGTTAGCAGAAGCTATATTACATCGGATCGCATATATATTTTGAATGATGCGTCCCATTATTTCACAAAGCTTGATCAAATGATTAAACCGCGAAACAGAGTGTGCAACATTTTGCATATCTTTGTTAACTAACGTTGAAGCGGGAGACATAGGTGACCCGATAATGCTGCTATTAGAGGAGGGGGATGATAATAACATTGAAGACGTTGTTGCATGTGCCATTTGAAACGGAAGTGCTTCGTATTCATCATCTTCTTCTTCCGATGGATACGCAGCATCCACGTCTTTTTCATCAATGCCTAACTAGACTATCAACGATAAAAGTCCTTAGAATTTCTTATATCATTATTAGTTAAAAATTGCAACATATCGAA